GTGTCAATAGCTACAAAGGCGATGTGTTAATCCCATACAAAAGTAGCACATACAGTGAGGGTACAATAATTGTATTTTCAGCGGCAAACAAACAAATTAAAGGACATCAGTTGGGTTTATGTGGCAAATGCAAGTATTACCCACATGGGTAATTAACAAGATTTGACCCTAAGATTAGATTATGCCATGGTTGGCAGATGCAGAATAATGAAATATGTGGACTACAATAACTATGAAGACCACAGTGTGTCGGAACAGCGTGACAATATGTACAAAAGCGGTGTCGACTCAAGGCAACGCCATCATGATGTAGACATTTCACGACAAACGCATAAGCGGAGCAAAATCATCATAAACGCAAAATAATCACGAACGGCAAACGGATACTAAAGCAAAGGATGATAATTACAAATGGACCCTACATAATGAATGAATATAGACCACAGGCAAAGAGGGAGACAAAGAAAGCGAATGAGCTGGTTAGATATTTGAACTAAGTGTAGTGCAGTGCAGTTAACTATGACATTTATATTCTAAGATAAAACTGAAGTTTAATGCTAAGTTTATTTAAAACTAAAGTTTATTTGGCTAAGTTTATTGATTTAAGTATATTCACTTAAGTATATTCACACAATCATACTCACACGTCACACCTAAAACAATGTAAATGATTAAAGAGACTACAATATGGAAATAAGCGAGAACACAAGTGAAGCTTGTACAAGCACAACAAAATGCTAACTAACTAAGCTGCAGCTAAGTATAAAGAAACGCAAATTGATATGGATATGTGTACACCAAATGAAAATAAATGCAGTTGACACTACATCTTATTGAGGGTAAATAACCTGCAGGTAATATGTAAACAAAAGCAATGCTACAAACCGTAAAGGTATTTAAAGAAACAACAAGGAGTTATGCCAGGCAAATATTTACAAGTTCATAATGGACAGAAAATTAAAGATGAATGTTTACAGACATGTCAAATGTAAACAAAGTCAAAGCAATATTGCAAAAAAATGTAGAAACAGTACTTACAGTTCAAGATGAACAATATAAATATATCCAATTAAAGGCGAGAAACAAAATAGTCCGGAAAATGAGTCACAATTCACAATCACCAAACCAAGTACAGCAAATTGTCAACTTGACCTGCCTTGGAGTCTCTGGGTCAAGGTCGCTGTCAAAGTTCAGTAAGTCCTAGGGTCACAAGACCCAACAACATGGACCTGACAGTCACTCGTGTGATGGCCAAATCGACCATAATTACAGTTCTTTCACAAACTTGCATTCCATGCGGGTATCCAGGCATCACATAAGTTCCTCACTGGGGGCTCCAAACATGTAACCGGGTTTTCTTGGCTTTATCTATTATTTTATACAGATGACACCAAGACAGCTACGGGGTGTGAGGCTTACGTTTATTATATACGATAGTCACCCTGTAATAAGAAACAACAGATAATATAGTATATGCATATTAAACATAATATAATATTATATATCATATCATCATCAAAGCAATACAATCATTTCTGTTACATTACTTACAACTATGTATTATTAGATGATACGATAGAAAATGCTTACAGTACATATTAAGTAAAATGGTTACACATACCCCATGTGTGGCACAAGGGTGAAAAAACGTGATACCCTTGAAATGTCACCATTCATGATATGTCCTGCAGAAGAAAGAGCAGGAATAAATACTTAGAGTGACTAAATACACTGAATAACAAAATGCACAGCTTATGCAATTCCATTAATGTAGATATACTAGTAACTTAGCATGTATACAAGATAATATTAAAATACAGTATTGCTTAGGTTTAAAGTTCAGCCTCTAAACCACATTCATTCAAAACATTAATAGAAATATATAATTCAATGTAAATATAATTACTTCTTAGATGCTTATTTATAATGCATAATCTTTGATTACTATTTAATCCTATTTAGAAATAAAGATGAATTATAAACTAACCTTTTGTGGTGATCTGTGAATACTCCCAGTGCAGTGCATAGTGAAATGGCAATATGGAGTTAGTCAGAGCAAGAAGGTAAAGTTTAAATTTGGCCAATCACAGGATCGCTTGGGGTGTGATTGATCAGCAGAGGGCTGGACAAAGAATGTAGTGGAGCTTGGGTTGTGATTGATCACTGAGGCCTGGGCTTAGAATGACAAACACACACCTCTGTTGAATAAAGTTCAACAGAAACAAAACTTGAAATATATTTATTTACAAAAATAAGACTAAAATACAAATATATACACCTGCTACACTAATTCAAGGATATGTAAGTTATACTAATTCAAGGATAGGTAAGTTATACTAATTCAAGGATAGGCAAGTTAACCTAATTCAAGGATACGAAAGTTATACTAATTCAAGGATAGGCAAGTTTTACTAACTCAAAGATAGGGAAGTTATACTAATTCAAGGATAGGTAAGTTATACTAATTCAAGGATAGGCCAGATAACCTAATTCAAGGATAGGGAAGTTATACTACTTCAAGGGAAGGGAAGTAATACTAATTCAAGGATAGGTAGCTTATACTAATTCAAGGATAGGCAAGTTATCATAATTCAAGGATAGGCAAGTTATACTAATTCAAGGATAGGCCAGATAACCTAATTCAAGGATAGGGAAGTTATCATAATTCAAGGATAGGCAAGTTATACTAATTCAAGGATAGGCCAGATAACCTAATTCAAGGATAGGGAAGTTATCATAATTCAAGGATAGGGAAGTTATACTAATTCAAGGATAGGCCAGATATACTAATTCAAGGATAGGGAAGTTATACTAATTCAAGGATAGGCAAGTTAACCTAATTCAAGGATAGGGAAGTTATACTAATTCAAGGATATGGAAGTTATCATAATTCAAGGATAGGCAAGTTATACTAATTCAAGGATAGGCCAGATAACCTAATTCAAGGATAGGGAAGTTATACTAATTCAAGGATAGGTAACTTATACTAATTCAAGGATAGGCAAGTTATCATAATTCAAGGATAGGCAAGTTATACTAATTCAAGGATAGGCCAGATAACCTAATTCAAGGATAGGGAAGTTATACTAATTCAAGGATAGGTAACTTATACTAATTCAAGGATAGGCAAGTTATCATAATTCAAGGATAGGCAAGTTATACTAATTCAAGGATAGGCCAGGTAACCTAATTCAAGGATAGGGAAGTTATCATAATTCAAGGATAGGCAAGTTATACTAATTCAAGGATAGGCCAGATAACCTTATTCAAGGATAGGGAAGTTATCATAATTCAAGGATAGGTAAGTTATACTAATTCAAGGATAGGCCAGATATACTAATTCAAGGATAGGGAAGTTATACTAATTCAAGGATAGGCAAGTTAACCTAATTCAAGGATAGGGAAGTTATACTAATTCAAGGATAGGCCAGATATACTAATTCAAGGATAGGGAAGTTATACTAATTCAAGGATAGGCAAGTTAACCTAATTCAAGGATAGGGAAGTTATACTAATTCAAGGATAGGGAAGTTATCATAATTCAAGGATAGGCAAGTTATACTAATTCAAGGATAGGCCAGATAACCTAATTCAAGGATAGGGAAGTTATCATAATTCAAGGATAGGCAAGTTATACTAATTCAAGGATAGGCCAGATATACTAATTCAAGGATAGGGAAGTTATACTAATTCAAGGAAAGGCAAGTTAACCTAATTCAAGGATAGGGAAGTTATACTAATTCAAGGATAGGTAAGTTATACTAATTCAAGGATAGGGAAGTTAACCTAATTCAAGGATAGGGAAGTTATAATTCATTTCTATTTCATCAGACATTTTTCTCGAGTTACATGTGTGTGCCATATCATCTGATTAACATCTTGAACATTGTTTTCCTATTAAGAAAATATTGGAGTAATTTCTTCTCTCAGAGCAATGTTTGATATGTTACTTGTGTAGGTCAGGTAAACAGTCCCATGTAATGTAACGTTTGTTTTATTTTGGAGATTTCTATCACAGAAATCAGGAGGGGAGCATAATGAAACGTGCTGAAGAATTTTAGTCATAATTTTTGTATATGAATCTAAATATGGTACTCAGTATTGTGTGCACTTATTCACAAGCCATTCCCCTAATTGTGCTATACTTTATGGCACTTCGCATGGGCCTGGCCAGCCACGAGTTACGTCCCTTAGCTTCTTGTACTTTCGGCATGCAGCCAGGGTCAGCCATGTGCTCTCCACCCACGACAATGCTGTGTTGTCTGCCAAGTTACCAAGATGGAATACTACTAGTTCTTTTGAGTAGTATATGGTCAAACAATCTGGCAGATCATAGAGCTGATCGACAAGACTTCAAAGTCTTGGGTCTGACATACTGGCAATGCTTCTTGACAAGAATCATGAGAAATGATGAAGATGAAATAGAAGCAGAGGAAACGAGAGAATCTTCTAACACTACCGATTTACAATGTCTTTGGTGTCCTATTGGAATAAAACACACATCATCAATCTAGAAACATCACTTAGCGTGTTATAATTTCTATCCAACTTTCAGACAAAAGCTTTGTGGAACGGCTTAGTGACCAAAACTTCGCCTTCATTGGGACTTGTCGGCTGCTGGTTACAGCAAACAACTGAGAAAGGGAACTGCACTCAACATGGACCACAGTGTGTCCGAGGCAGAAACGTTGAAGACAAATCAGACAAAAGACGAGACGCTGCAACTAACTGACTGAGTTTGGTTTTACGCCACTTTTAGCAATATTCCAGCAACATCACGGCAGGGGACACCAGAAATGGGCTTCACACATTGTGGGGATTTGAACCCGGGTCTTCGGCGTGACGAGCCAACGCTTTAACCATTAGGCTACCCCACCACCCCGCAACTAACTGAAGGAGTTTTGTAGGGGGAAACGCGAACTTTTTCTCTCCTTGAATTGTCTCCTTTGAGGTCATTTTCCAAATGAATATATAGTTTATATGAAATAAAAACAAGCTGATGTAGTTTCAGTCTCTTTTAATAACTGACAAACAAATTGAAACCCAGATCATGTGTGTTAAAGAGGTAACACGGGCGGATAACTCTAAATCAAAGCGAACGACTCAGGTACTTCCTGTATTTTGCACTGCGCAATTATCAACAGAAGTCAATTACTAAACTATCGATAGTCCCACATACTATCGATGCATCAATAGTTTTTCGTTTCCACCATCGACTAATTGCTATCGAAAACTCAACAATTGCAATCCATCGATAGTTTGATGCATCGTTACAGCCCTAGAGTCTTGTCAACACAGCTTCAAGACTTGTGGCAGGTACCCTGACAATTGCTGAACTTGCAGACAACAGTTGTATACAAAAATGAATAAAGTACACTTTCATAAATTTAATATTAACATGGTGGCCATACCGAACATGACATGCGAACCTCTTAAACAAACTAAGGTGTCATTATAGTGGGAGTTGAGTGTGAAGTTTTAGGTCTCAGAGGGAATGGTTACAATGGACGATAAACAACGATGACGGAGAATCATGTCATGATACAAGCTAACTTGTCTTTCAGTCATGTGAACCGAAAGTCTTGCCAAGAAGTACACTGAATATGAGGCACTGAACAATCAACCTGAAGTGTTTGTAATGTCCACCATTATCCATATTTCACTCTTCACCAAAGTAGCTATACCCCTTCTGTTTAGTGAGACAGGGTGTGAGTTCAGTTATACACCGCACTCAGCAATATTCCAGCTATATGGCGGCGGTCATACCAGACCAGACAATCTAGTGATCAACAGCATGAGCATCGTTCTACGCAATTGGGATACAATGACATGTGTCAACCAAGTCAGTTACTGAAGGCCAATTCTAACCCAGATCTTCATGGGTCACTTCTGTTCAGATTTATTCACTATGTACAACATTATATCATCAAGGTCAGGTTGTATGAAGGCAAGGTAACCAGAAAATAAATGTGTGCTGGTCGTATGCCACGAACAAGGACGCTACACAACTCTACAGAGTGAGGCCCTGAGGGGTCCAGGGAGTGTTATAGCTCTTCATACAGTATTGCACATCAATCTTGATGCGACGCCAAGAGCTGGGTGGAAACAGCTACGTGGGCGGTTTCAAGGGTGGCTGCGTGGGTGGCTACGTGGGCTCACGCAAGTCTCCATGGCCGAACGAGGACAGACGACTGGATAGAGTCACAACGGCGGATCAGTGTTTTAGAGAAGTCTGACCAACTGTGACCATTTTGAGTTGATGTAGGTCCACCCAGACACACAATGGAGGATCAGTGTTTTAGAGAAGTTGAACCAACTGTGACCATTATGAGTTGATGTAAGCCCATCAACATGGCGGCTTCAGCTTGTTCTTCAAGTACTGCATGACCTGATGCATCAGCTCGCGACTGTCTCCGTCCCGCCACACCATCTCCAGGACCACCTCCGGCTGCCCTGCCCGCTTCTTCAGGTTCACGTCACACTTCAGGATGTACCGCTTCTTGCCAGAAGTCGCCACATCTGGTTTCTTCCCATCTGCCTTGATACTTGTTGCTTCAGATCCAGATTTAGTCAAGCCATCATTTCCCGTGTTTGCTTGTATCACAATTGTTTGATTTGCTGTTATCAGCTTGAACTGATTCAACATCTGTGTTTTTCACAATTTCCGTTTCCTCGACAACTTTGATCCTTTTGCTTTCACCTGATTCTTCTGACAGAGTTTCTGGCGCCTTCCTCTTCCTGTGTTCAGAATCTTCCACACCACCATCCACACCCATGTTGTTGTCGCCACTGACGTTGAGACAACCACTGTCATCAGCTCCCTTCATTTCCAACCCAGAGTCATCTCCCTTCATTTCCAACCCAGAGTCGTCTCCCTTCACTTCCAGTGCGGAGTTATCTCCCTTTTCATCTTTCACGTGTTCACCAAGCTTGTCCTGTATGACAGACATATCACTTGTGGGGCGGGTAGAGTTGTCTGCCCCTTCTCGCAGCTTCTGTCGACGTTTACGTCTCTGGTTGGACCAGGTGTTTTCATGCGCTACGACCGCAAGGCTGGCAAAACCCTTGTGACATTTCTTCTCTCTGTGCTGAATCTGTTTAAAAAAGGAAATGTTCAAATCAGCATTGGCTATCATTCTGAATATTAATATCAGAGTACCAGAGTAAACAAGCTGGCTTCAATGCCACTTTGAATGACATTCCGATACGTCAGTTTAACATGAGAGGAGCACCATGTGATATAGGCCTAAGATGGTCAACCAGGTTGGTGAAACCCACAAACACATGGCGTAGGGCAGACAGACCTACAACATAATCAGGGGAACTGGAGTGTGAACCCACCATCACAGGTTGCTGGCATGCCCAAGGGAGGCAACTCTGGCACAACACACTAACGTGTAAAACCTTGACCTTTATTCCAGCAAGACTGGAAGACATTATTTACAGATACTATGACAGAAGCTTGATTTACAGTGAATCAAAGATCAGAGATCCTGGATTGAAACAGAGAAGTCAACTTATACAGATTTGATTAACATAAAATATAACTACAGATGCTTGACTGATAGACCCTGGATGTAGAGATCCTTCACTTAGATGCAACATTGACAGATCCCATACTTAAATATTCTAATCTTACAAAACAAATCCTTTACAGAAAACTTCGATATTTTCAGATCCATAATTTCCACATTCTAGATCAACATATCTATGTTTATTCCATGCATTCACCTGAAGTCCATTAAGTATAGTCTTTACATGTTGCGTCAGATGTGGCACATCATAGATAGCGCCACCAGCTGCAAACGGCACAACGTAGGACAGAGGTGGCTTCTCATTCTTGGAGGACTGGAAGGGAGACTTCTGCAACGATAATACGACAGCTGACCAGGTCGTTACTCTGATCCAGTTCACTACATACTAGGCTAGGTAGGGGAGGCAATTACATGTAGGCGATATAGGTGTGGAGAGGATAAAGAAGAACAGAATGGAAGATGGTGTTAATCAAAAGACAGGGTAGTCCCACTGTCTTTGAATGATTGCTCTTCACTGAAAATGTATTTTTCAATTGTAAAAGTACTACTTACAGAGGTACAGATAAGCTGCGTATCTGCGTAAATTACGCAAATATTTATGTGAAAACTCAATTCCTATTACGTCTGTTGCGTACAAGTACGCTTGTATTTTTGTAAATGCTCAATAAATTTGATCGTACATGCGTACACAGAAAACTGTCAAATCTTAGCTTGCGTACCAGTGGATAGATAAAGCAACTGAGGTATATTTAGATGTTCTGTTTCGGCACATGAACACTCAACTAGCAGTCTTTCATATCGTTTCTCATATTACAGATCAAATATAAATAACAAACACTAACATTTAAACTTTATTATATTTTTACAATTAATGGAAAATGGCAAAATACCCAATTGATTTTGAGTGAGGTGAGTACAATTTGTTTGGTTACTCAAAGGAAAATTAGGATACCCAATTGAGATGAAGACAAGCGGGTACATAACTCAATGACCCAAAAAGTTATCTGTAGCTCTGTACTTACCATGTTTAACAAGTGTTAAAGGTTCAAGTACATTTACATCTAGATAAATACTATTGTTGTAAGGGAGTAAAAATGATTTAGAAGAATATTTGTGGTTTCCTATGACACACTAATTGTGTCAGCAGACAACCAAAACTCGGGTAAGCAGTAGTGGTTTGGATGACCTGGATTACATGTTTGAAACTAACGGCAGATTCGCAAAAAGTATATATTTTCTAAAATTGTGACCATTTACTAAAAAAGGTGGTGAAGTTCAGCCATTATTGAACCATTCAATTAGTTTCTTTGTCTACACCTTCACAAGTGTTGCAGGTGTAATATCAACAGCATCTATCCATGCCTACAACATGAGAATCAAACTTCTAAGAAATCAAAGATCAAACTTCAAACTTGAGAATCTCCACAGGGAAAGAAGCCTGAGACTGGTTCTGTGTTGACTGTCCTGAGAGTTACACTTACAGGGAACACGACACTTTCATCAAAGGACCAGGCTATCCCCCACCGCATTGTCTTGCCCTGACAAAACTCTGTCGTGGCGTATTTGGGAACCTGGAGAGAACAATATTAAATGTCATTAATGTGCATTCTGTCTTTTTTAAAAAATAGATCTCATTTTCTTTCCCCACCAAACACTGCAAACTGTTACTTTTGTGAATAAAAAGGAGAAAATGAATACAAAAATGTACATGGGATGCAATTTTTTTCCAATTAACACTCAAAGTGGACAAAATAGTAATGGATAACAAATTTGTTATCGTACCAAAAATACCAAAAACATTTCGAATTTATCTTTACCATTAACAAGCAAGTCCACCTATGAGCAGGATTAACATGAGTATGCTGACAACTATAATAACCACAGGAGGCCATTTCTACCTTTGATAAACGCACACAAAGGCTATTTCCTCCAAGCCGCCTATCAAGCAGTACTTCAAATCATGCCCTCTACGACCTTCTCCAACCAACAATCAACATCCACCTGTAGCACCATTCCACCAATCAACATCCACCTGTAGCCCCTCCCACCAATCAACATCCACCTGTAGCCCAACCAACATCCACCTGTAGCCCCTCCCACCAATCAACATCAACCTGTACCCGCTCCCACCAATCAACATCCACCTGTACCCCCTCCCACCAATCAACATCCACCTGTAGTCCCTGCCACCAATCAACATCAACCTGTACCCGCTCCCACCAATCAACATCCAACTGTACCCCCTCCCACCAATCAACATCCACCTGTACCCCTCCCACCAATCAACATCCACCTGTACCCCCTCCCACCAATCAACATCCAACTGTAGCCCCTCCCACCAATCAACATCCACCTGTACCCCCTCCCACCAATCAACATCCACCTGTACCCCCCTCCCACCAATCAACATCCACCTGTACCCCCCTGCCACCAAACATCCACCTGTACCCCTCCCACCAATCAACATCCACCTGTACCCCTCCCACCAATCAACACCCACCTGTACCCCTCCCACCAATCAACATCCACCTGTAGCCCCTCCCACCAATCAACATCCACCTGTACCCCCTCCACCAATCAACATCCACCTGTACCCCTCCCACCAATCAACACCCACCTGTACCCTCTACCACCAATCAACATCCACCTGTAACCCCTCCCACCAATCAACATCCACCTGTAGCCTTTACCACCAATCAACATCCACCTGTAGCCTTTACCACCAAACAACATCCGCCTGTAGCCTTTACCACCAATCAACATCCACCTACCACCAATCAACATCAACCTGTACCCACTCCCACCAATCAACATCCACCTGTACCCTCTACCACCAATCAACATCAACCTGTACCCTCTACCACCAATCAACATCCACCTGTAACCCCTCCCACCAATCAACATCCACCTGTAGCCTTTACCACCAATCAACATCCACCTGTACCCCCTCCCACCAAACAACATCCACCTGTAGCCTTTACCACCAATCAACATCCACCTGTAGCCTCACCCACCAATCAACATCAACCTGTAGCCTCTCCCACCAATCAACATCCACTTGTAGCCTCTCCCACCAATCAACATCCACTTGTAGCCCCTCCCACCAATCAACATCAACCTGTACCCCTTCCCACCAATCAACATCCACCTGTAGCCCCTCACTCTAATCAACACCCACCCGTAGCACCATTCCACCAATCAACATCCACCTGTAGCCCCTCCCACCAATCAACATCCACCTGTACCCCCTCCCACTAATCAACATCCACCTGTACCCCCTCCCACCAATCAACACCCACCTGTACCCCCTCCCACCAATCGACATCCACCCGTACCCCTCCCACCAATCGACATCCACCTGTAACCCCTCCCACCAATCAACATCCACCTGTACCCTCTCCCACCAATCAACACCCACCTGTACCCCCTCCCACCAATCAACACCCACCTGTACCCCCCTCCCACCAATCAACATCCACCTGTACCCCTCCCACCAATCAACATCCACCTGTACCCCCTCCCACCAATCAACATCCACCCGTTCCCCCTCCCACCAATCAACATCATCACCTGTACCCCTCCCACCAATCAACATCCACCTGTATCCCCTACCACCAATCAACATCAACCTGTAGCCCCTCCCACCAATCAACATCCAACTGTACCCCCTCCCACCAATCAACATCCACCTGTACCCCTCCCACCAATCAACACCCACCTTCAGTTTGCGTAGCTCCTCCTTCAAGGGAGATATGCTGGTCTTCTTGCCAAGCATGGTGGTGTACACCCTGTAACAAGTCATCATGAACTTAGTGTACCAGTTTAGGACACAGAAGAAATTACATTTCCACAACTCTTCTTCCATCATGTCCACAAACACTAAACACAAAACACAAATACCTTCTGTTTAATAACTTAAGCATTGGCGGATCCAGAGGGGGGTTCAAGGGGTTCGAACCCCCTGAAAACACACACACACACACAACCCTTTTCAAAATTCCTGAATCCGCCCATGTTACGGACACTAATCTATGTATTGATAAAGTTTTTTTCACAAAATTTGTAAACCATAATCCCTTTTGCTTAACATCCAAGATAAATAGATAAATCTCTGAAGTAAATATGGTTAATACTGACAAAGATTGTTACAGACAATAACACCTGTGTCTTTCTTTGTTTTGTTATCAAACATCGCACTAAGCAATATTCCAGCAATATGGCAGTGGTCTGTAAATGATCGAGCCTTGACCAGACAATCCAGTGATCAACAGCCTCACACCTGTGGGACAATGACGGCCTACCTTACTCTGGTCCTCAGAGATGCTGAGTCAGCAATCAGCTGTTTGACGAACATCACCTCCCCTCCAGGGGCGATGCTCTCCTTGGGGCTGGCAGTACTGACGGAGCAGGGCTCGCTGCGGTCCACGCTGCGGGATGTCGACACTGCCTGTGCCTCATTGTGGTCCGCAAAGAAAGGAGGATTACACATGCAGAAGTCGTATGTCACGTCCGAATCCTCATCTAGGAGAGCCCCGGTCATCAGAGCATCCTCTGTCACTTTCTTCACTGTAACCATGGTAACCAGGGGTAAACATCTTGGGTGTAAACTAGCACATAAATGTCAGACACTTTAACTGCAGATACCCTTTAGTGGCAATTCATGTGACTGACATCATGAGCATCAAAACATGCACTAAAATACAACGAAATGCATCAACAATGTGTGACCATCCCAGTCCATCAAGAACGGAACTGACGTTTAGTTTTAACATAACAAAATATTGTCATTGAAAATTCACTGAAACAGACTAATTCATTCTTCACATAAACCAGCAACTGTTTTGTGAGTGAGCGAGTGAGTGAATATAGTTTTACGCCACTTTTAGCAATATTCCAGCTATATCACGGCTGGGGACACCAGAAATGGGCTCCACACATTGTACCCAGGTGGGGAATCGAACCCAGGCCTTCGACGTGATGAACGAACGCTATAACCATTAGGCTACCCCTCATGTTAAGACAAGAGAAAGAAACTGAAAACAAACCTGTTATTGCTGAAGTCAAACTATTTTTCTCAACATTCTTCTTAGCATAGAAGACATTTTGAGCATCGATATCTGTTGCCAGGAAGGACCATTTGTTCATCTTGTTGCCTAGTAACGGATAAACGCAAGATGAACCAGTACCTGAAAAGGACGACATTATGACATTAAGAATCCCTGAGTACCGCATCATTTTAATAGTCACTTGAATACATCATCACTTGAAAACATTGTCACTTGAATGGACAGAACACTTCATGCAAGCAAATGAATGAATTATCATAATTGAGAATTCCGGGGAGCTTGTTTCAAAAATCCAAAACAACCTGTTTCCAAGGTGTCAAAATGTTTTCTGCTTAGGCGAAACAAGCGAGAATACTTATGGTGCTGTCAACTATAACAGTATACAGCAAACTGAATTCAAGCTCGTGAGTAAGTGAGTATGGTTTTATGCTGCTTTTAGCAATATTCCAGCAATATCACGGCGGGGGAGACCAGAAATGGGCTTCACACAATGTACCCATGTGGGGAATTGAAACCGGGTCTGCAGCGTGACGGGTGGACGCTTTAACCACTAGGCTACCCCACCACCCCATTCATGCTCATGAAAAAACATCTGGATCAGAGACTGAAGCCCATACTGCAGCAAGGAATATACCTACAAAATCAATAAAAGGAGTTTCTAAATCAATCTGATTTATCACTCAAAATGTAAATTGCTCATTTCAACAAAGTATGGAGCAGACAGATTTCAAACACACTTACTTACCAATATCGATTCCTCGTACACCAGATTTCTTCCTTCCGATGATATCTTCAACCCACAGCAGGTAATTGAGTCTCAGCGGGATCGTTGGAACCAACCGATCCTGAGGCAACTCAACATCAAGGTCAAAGTCTTCCTTCAGCAAAGTTTTGGTGAGAATTCGCAAATCTTCAGGGTTCTTGAAGTCCAGGAACACCTTGCCTGCTGTGTCCTGAATAACGTGGCTACAAAACTCAGGGTACTTGCTGGCCAGAAGTTGGAAGTCTGGTTTCTGGCGCCTGTAGGGGTTCCGTGGGTGCATGTATTTGTTGAGAGACATCTGGGAAACACAACGAGAAATACCTGTGGCAAACCTTTCTGGTTCATCTCTTACAATGACTTGTTTCAAATATTAGAACACACGCCACTTCAACAAGAAGTTCCCTGAATAGCAAGCATATATCAAAATGTCCAATTATATATTTTACATTATAATAATGCAAGGTTTGCAATTAAATATGGATTTTAGCTCTGTGCATTAATAATTTCAAATACAGATCGCTAAGTCCTTTGAATTTGGTATCCACCAAGATAACCAGGTTCCTTTCAACTATCTATCAGTATTTCATTGTATTGTTTATCTTCACAATGTAAGTAGATACACATATAAAAATGCAGACCAACATACTTCACATTTCTGGAAAAAGAGCACCCGAAATGTTCAAAGGGAGCTTACTGACACGATGAGGGTGAACACACATATAGAGAGAGACATTTCGAAAAATCAAACATTGTGAAATACCGATTTTTAATACATAAGCTGGACTGATTGAGTAGACTTGTGGATAATCTTTGTAAGGAAACATATGCTCCTGTATATATAACTGATTCAGCACACTCCTGATTTCTTCATAACAATGAAGGGGAAGATTTCTCAGTTGGATTAGTGAGGTAGGTTCCTGTGGGACGTGGCTGTCATAAAACAAAATCTGAAAATTACTGAGAATGTTCTGTTAAGATTAGTATATCCCACTTTCAGAAATATTAGTGCACCACAAACCGACAGATGAATATGTGAAGCATGTGTACAAGTTCTTTTTAGTTGTCTCACATGATTTTATCCAGCTGAGTGACGTTCACTAAGCGTGGCAAGCTGGGAGACGTTTGTCCAATAAGCAGTGTGTAGCTATAGTCTTCGAAGCTAACCACTGTACCTTTTTTTCTACTGTGGACTGGACTTCAACTCGTTGCCCACCTTAATCACTTTAGGGTCATGCTCTTTTTGAGCATAAGAACTAAAAAGCAGAAATTTGCATCCGGTTATTTTTGTCTATTTGGGAATACAGATATACAATGGCATCAGTGGAAGAATTTAGACAATTGTGGTCTATATTTATACCCATGCTTGAAAAACGAAAACAAAACTGAAGAAGTAGGACACACAACCTTACCTTCAGTCATTCACAGGCGATTTGTCAACCGCTGCAGAACATAGGAAAATTTAAACCAAGTGAAAAACAATATAGAAATTATGTTGCAACCACTAATAATAACTTTGTTCTCGATAAAACGTTTACTGAACGTTTTAACTCATTCAAAGAAACTTGTGTGAGCCGCCATTGGATCCACGTGACATCACTTCCTACATGTGAATCGCATCACTTCCGGCAGCGTGTGGACATGCGCAATATAAACTTCAAATTGGAAGGGGATAATACGTGTTCTTGCTCTTCAAGTTCGTAAAATTTCGATTATCTGTGTTGGTTGGAGGAAATTACTTTCTCTGACACATCTCAGGTAAAAGCCCTATTCACATTTTTACCCCATTTTTGAAATCATATGAGTATCACGCGTGTTAGAAAGACTTTTCATTGACAGTTGCTGTCACTTGGCTGATAACATGGCGGTCAGATGAGAGAGAGCATGCAAAAATTATCATTCATAATTATTTAACAATTTCGATGTGTTTGATAATGGTAACCTGTTGTTTTGTCTTTCAGTTGGAAACATATGTTGTGAGGCTCCTTTCATGTTCATAAAATATGCGCACGCAATGATGTCATCGACATAAAACGATCGATCTGCTTCCTCATTTTAATTCCAGACAAGTCACACGCATATCTATTCCAGCATCGATTCACCATTACGTCAACACACAATACTGATGCAGGCGGATATTTGTCGCAAATGACAAACGAAATAGATGTAGTTAGTGAAATTAACAGATCACTTCTGAGCAAATGACAAAACAAAAGCAAATAGGTCACTGAGGAGAAAATTATAATACATGGCAGTTTTCAATGACATCAGCTGTGCTGATCATTCTAGACGAGTTCTGTGACTGCACCATGTCCAATAGTGGAATGGCGTTCAGCCAATTTTGTTTTCATTTGAAAATATATGTTTAGGGAAATATCTGTCGCCAACAGGCTTATTACATATGCCAATATATTATGCCATACAAGAACTAAACACAGACATGACCTCTGAAGTAGGCGTTCAGATGATCTATGCAACAGTACAACCTGAGTGTATATGTCCATGAAAAGAGAAGATATTGATTCTTCTATATTGCCAGCTACGTGATAATGGGTGTTGACGATGTTAAAGAAACGCCTACCCTCAAAGAAATCTTTTTGGGTTTTTAGTTTGCTTGGATAGTTGCATTGTGTGATATTACTGATAATTCCTTCTGTCCAATTGGTTTGCTGTATCAGTCATTTAAACTTGAAAAACTGTTGTCTCAACTTAATTGAATTTCTATTTGGCATCCTGTCCTGTAGATTGTAGATGTATTAAACTATTATTTGCCTCTTATCTCTTCTATGATGTCTGTGAACTGGTGTTATTTCACTGAAATGTAACTAGATTCAGACTTTGAAATTGTGGCCAAAGTTATTTCCTGCCATATGTGATCATAATTAAATCATAAATAGGCTATATGGACATGCTTCATAGCCATCAACACTGACATGTATGCATATGAGACCAATAGTAATCCATAAATACAGATAAATTATGTTTTCTGTTTGAAACTTATGAGATCTCTCATAATCATAATCAACAATAATGATAATCGTGATAATCCATATCACATAAACTTGTTTAGCAGTATTTAAAACAGAATACTCTGGTACACCTTATTTTCTAAGCCTGCATCATCACTCCAATTCGTACCCTTACATCCCAAAACAATTTCATGAATTTCAAGGTATTGATTGGCGAGTTCTGGCACTCTGTTTTGTTTTGTATTCTTGTGAAATCACAAGGAAATATAAGTTTCATATGATATTATTTCGCCCATAAGTGCCAAAAGTTGTTTATCTTTATGTATGCATTGCATTAAAATTGCTGACAGTATGGAATCTTCCCAATCTTCCCACACAATCCTACTGTTGGGACATGTTGAGATAAGGAAGTAAATCCAACCATGTGAGTCACTACCCTCAGTCATTTTTAGACTGGACTATTTTAGTAAAGTTTCATGATAGAAATTCAGTTGTCAAGGTGGTTTAGTGTTGTGTTCAAGATCACTGCAACTATAAGGCCAGGTGTTTGTGTGTGGAATTGGTTGCATCTATTAATCTGGACTAACACCAGTTTTGTTCTTGTTATGCCACTGACACACGAGGCCTCAGTTTGACATGGATACAGTATTATGTCTAAGAGGCAGCCAGTCCTTGGTTTTAAACCGTTTAAAGATATGTGCCATTCAGGGTAACAACTAGTACCACCTGGTAATGTCATTTTATGTGACAGAATTTTGTGTTTTTATTGACTTGCCTGGTTGCAGGTAGCAATTATTCATAAGGATGAACATAGTGATATTAACAGTTCACTGTAACATGTCCAGGTGGGTTCTTGTATGATGAACAGATTCAGCCATATGTTCAAATAGAATAGTTTACTTATCAAGGTCTTAGTATAAATTATTGCTTTTGTCATTAATATTGGTAAAAGGAATTGAAACACACCTCTTGTTCAACACACAAGATGAAATGAAATCATGAAAAAAAATTAAAAAGGAAAAAATACGCTAGTTCTTTTGCTTATGTCACAAAATCAAACTGTTTTTGCCACATGGTCTGAATGTTATGCAAGTTGTAGGAGAGCAGGCTGCCTCGTGATAAGTTGTATATTGGGTGTGCACTGCTCGCTTCACTCTGAACCTGATGGATGAAGGTCAGTGGGTCAGGATAGAAGGGTTGGGGCTTCAGTATAGTTCTTTTGTTTACGAATATTTTTAAACAGGGGGAATGACTTGACTAAACGTTTTAGATGTCAAATGTTTTTATCAAAACGCTTGATAGATGTTAGTGAAAAGAGATTGCTATGTAATAATATTGTACCTACTCTGTCAGTTTTTAGATTTCTTGTAGAGCGACTTGACCTACAGTGCATGGGAAACAGCAGTGTTGCAACGTTTGACATTTTTTTGACGAGTCCCTTCAGAAATTATTCACATGAATGCACTAGGCGATACATGTCCATGGTGTGTAGCCGGACGCTGGGCAACAGGTCCTTGACCCTTGTGGTGTAGCGCCACACACCACGACTTATTACAGTAGCCGGGTGAGATGGGGCCTCAGGCATACAGACAGTAACAAGGTGTTAGTACCATTGTAGCAGTGATTCAACTAATAAGCTTGATCATACTACAGGTGACCAGTCAAGTGCAAACCTGTCAATCATCTCAACAAATGCCACATGGAAACAAAAACACAGAACCAATATAAAAATACTTTTGTCAGTTATATTGGAGAAAGCATTTGCAGCAGAAACAGAATCGTATATAATTTGAATTGGTTATTGTCATGCATTAGTAGTAGTATATGAATTGATATGTTGACACAGTAGATGTCTTGCTCTGCAGTGGAATGTATAATCTGTGTAAGGGTCCTTCTCACAGCTGCCAGTGCATAAGTGGGAGACAAACAACAGCTCAGCTGATGAAGTAGACAAACATCTAGTCCCTGAAATGGACATATGTTACAGAAAACAACAGTTCCTAAATTATATTCATAAAATATCATAAAAAGGAACCCAGAGACTTCATTTTCAGGAAATGAAACTGGTAATCTGGACTTGCAACATATTCTAGACTTGCTTGTCCTGTATTAGGTATATTGGTTTCAGGGTGTGTATTACAGACTACTGATTAAGATTTGTGACAACAGAAGACCTGTGTGTCTACAACATGATCTACACAATGTCAGTGGCATTGTCTCATGGTACAAGTACTGTCTTTGGCTCAGTCCAAGTCATGTTGTGTCTGTTTTCCTCACAGTTTCCTCAGTGTTATCATGTTAGACTGAATTATGTTTTACATGACACTTACCATGCCTGTTGACCCAAATGTATTGAGTATAATTAATGTGAAACTTATAAAATGCAAGTATTCAGTATTTTGAACAAACTGTCTTAAATTTGGATAAGGCCATATTTTATAAGTTGTATGCTTCTCTCGAGGGTAATACGGTCTGATGTACGCCTCTTTGTAGCAGTGTTACCCGAGCCGGTAGGCAAGGGATAACACTGTTACAGAAAGGCGTACATCAGACCGTATTACCCGAGGGAGAAGCATACAACGTATTTATCTTACCGCGATGTTAAATGTACAAAATATCATTTTATTTTATTTTGAAGATCGCCACTGACTATATGACATGTGAGGTGAGGTGAGGTGAAATTGGGTTTAACGTCGTGCTTGAGAATATTTCGCTCATATGACGACGTGCATGCGTGTGTATGTGTATGTGCGGCTGCTTGTACTAGCCCAGACTTAAGCTGGTTTTATAGTGCCAGCCTACTGAGATACCATGCCGCAGTGAAGCATGAATACCCCACTCAGACAAATTATACTGACTCCGAGCCGCCCAGTCCTTGTTGTACCCATTAATGCCGAGCGCCAGGCAGGGACCAACAAGTACCATATTTTAACGTCTTTTGGTATGACGCGGTCGGGGATCGAACCCACGACCTTCCGCTCTCCGGGCGGACGCTCTAACCACTACACCACGGAGGCGGTTTCTATATGACATGTAAACAAAATGGCGTCTGCCTCTCGACTGGAATTTCAAAATCAGTGAAACATATTCTGACAAGCTTAAAACTGCAATAAAAATGGTTAATTATGTTTAAGTTGAGTGTGCAAACAATTCAATGCATAAAATAGTTTAAAAAGCAGTGAAAGTCGGTAAAATATATCTGTACATTGTAAACTCAAAAACTGCTGATCCAATGGCTTTCGAACTCCGGCATTGCATGCGTCATATTATGACGTCATACGATTGTTAGCGATACAGCTACTCGGCGGAGAGTTTGGCGGGTAATATTTTTTCAATTTATCACCTTCCTGGTAGGGGTGACACGGAAACTTGTTAAAGCGTCATTGACCAATGACATTAAAGTATTTTACATGAAGGTAAGATAATAACTAATGTAGGTTTTCGAGGGTTCAGTATCTAACTGCTGAGTTTCTCCCTTTGCTGCCAGTAACTAGTGCACACTGGTTCGAATCCAGCATTTGACTAACATTTTTCATGGGTGACATATTTACATGTTGCCCAGTTATCAAAGCAGCAGCATTTGCCTGAGCAGTGTATATGTCCATTTGTTGTACCAGACAGTTAGGAAGTGCAGGTCACTGTTTGAAATCCAAACTAAGCCATCAGCTTGTTGATGGTTTCACATATACAGCACACTTAACTATGTGTTTTGTTACTAATATGTGACAAAACTGACAATAAGTCATGCAATACAACAGTTCTAACACAAAATATTCAAAATATATAGGT